ACCAGCCACTGACCTGGTCCCTACTCAGGGGTGTGGAGAGGGGGACAGGCCTGAGCAAGACGAGAATTCCGCAGGTACTATGTGGGGACCACACGGCTGGAAGACGGGTGACAAGGGACGCAGGTAGTCTCGATTTGCTCCTGACCCTCACCCAGGACCACCCTCCACATCAGAAAACAAGAAGGAAACCGCTTTCCTGTTCAGCTGTGCATGGTGAAGGCCCACACTACAAGTATCTTGGGGGTTCCTTTCAGCGTGAGGGCTGTTTGTCTGGTGACCCAGGTGTGCCTGTCCACAAATCTCTCCTGGGTTTTGGTCGGAGGAGAGCCCCGAGGGCACACTTGGTCCTGCCACCGTCCCCACTCTGGCTGGGGCAGGCACCTGCAGACGGCCAGTGCCCTGACCACGTGCAATGACCATGTGGTGGAGTGGCCTCTGAGCAGCTGTGTCAGGTCCAGCGAAGCTTGCCGATGGGGTAGCCCACTCCGAGCTGCTAAATCAGACCCCCCTACAGGCTCCCCAGGTGACGTGCCTGACGGCAGGTGAGCAGAACTACCGGACATGACGGCCAGGGAACTCAGGAGTAGGGGCGTGTAGTGTGAGACGGGGTACTAGGTGGGACACCCCTCGCAGGGACTCACTCATTTCACACACGGTTTCTGACGGCTCCTCCGTGTGGTGCTAAAGGGAGACCTCAGGGTGGGACCAACCGGGCAGAACAGTCCCTGCTCCCACGGAGCTCCCAGTCCTGTAGGTGGACTGGCATGGATCAGGGACCCACAGTGAGCCAGTCACCAGCCCTGAGAGCAAGAGCGCAAGGCGCCCCACGAGCCTCTGAGCATAGGCCCTCACTGTGCTAAAGGGTTGGACAAGCAGCACTGAGGGGGGGACGGCTCAGCTGGAGGTCTGCAGGGTAAGGAGGGCGAGCAGAGGGCACCTCAGGCTGTGCGAAGAGCAGGTGCAAAGGCCCTGTGGAGGTGGGAGGGAGGGCCAGGCGGGAAGAACAGGGTGGGTCAGAGCAATCGGAGGGGCGAGCGAGAACGTGGGGCCCAGGCCAGGCTGGGAGGCAGGCAGGCTGCCACTGCAGGGCCTCGTGGGGCAGCGCTGCTCTCTCCACAGGCCCCTCCTAGGCCCACTGGCCAGCGACACGCTTCTTCTCAGAGCTGGGCAGGGCGGGCAGACAGACCTCTGCAAGCTCTCCCTCCATGTTCTTTTATAACCAGTTTGTCTGAATAAATAGGACTGATGGACAGTCTGGGAGGGAGGGGCTGCCCAGACGCAAGGAGAAGACCAACCAAAGAGAGAGACGCAGAGAGGCCGACGAGACTCTGCAAGTCCTGGCCCGGGAACGGGAGAGCGGACAAAGGTCAGCGCCGGCTTGGTCACAGCGCGGACAGGAGCTGCTGACTAAGCGCATCTGGAAGGATGTAATTACCTCCCTCCCGAGGGGCCCCAGACGGAGGAGCCCCTACAGCCGAAAACAGTAATTACCAGGCTAACGAGAGAGGACAGCCCAGGACTCGCCCGAGTGCGGAAGGAAGATCACCAGACCCGGGCTCACAGGGCCTGGGGTCATAGTGTGGCTCCACTCTCCTACCCGGAGACACCGAGCAAGGTGGGAGGTCTCTGGGGCACCGGGGCCTCTCTGTGAAAGGAAGACCTCCTCCCACTCCATGTCTGACCCCATGGCTCCTGGTGCCCACTGGAAAGTGCCCTAAAAGCACCCACGAGTGAGCGTGACTCTTCATCACAGCAGCCACTCTGGACAAGTGGGCGGATGAACAGGACAGAAAGGGAGAGTGGGAAGTGGTTCCCTTGGGACAGAGCATTATTCAGCTCTGTTCGTTCTCCTGCAAAAGCACTGAGTGGCCCCAGATTAGGGAAGTGGCCACACCTGCTCTTCGGCATTTGACAAAAAAGGCCCACTGGACGCTGTAGCTACCTCTGCAAAGGGGACCCTGAAAACAGGCTCAGGCCAGCACTGAGGTAAGAATGGGGCCACAGAAGGGGACCCTCCCCAGGTGATGGAGAGGCGGGGCTTTCTTGCTTTAAAAATCACATTAAGTATACACTAATTTTGATAATAATTAGATTTTCAAAAAGTAAAGTAGCTATAGGAATCAAGACGGGATGAGTAATGGCATAAAGACTGGCAAAAGGATCAATGGAACCTAAACGAATCCAGAAATAGTCACACACACGGAGACAGCTGATCCAACGAAGCTCCACAGACAATTGAGTACAAAAGAACAGTCTTCTCAACGACTAGTGCGAGATCGACCGGCTGTACATACATAGGAAAAACGAACTTCAGTCTACACAGTGAGCCCTATACAAATATCAAAGCAAATGGGTCAAGTGTAAAACTTAAAACTGGCCATGGTGTCAAAGCAGTAGTGTAAACCTCTGCAGTGCTGGAAGCCATATGAAAGACCAGGGTTCAGCTCCCAGGTCAGCTTGTACATGTCAGTTACATACACGTGCCTATGATCCTCCACAGCTGGCTGGGAAGCTGGGGAAGGGGGCCATGGGCTGGGACCCTGTTGAGAAGACATCTCTTTCTCTCTGTCTCTATGATGAAAGAAAGGAACAACTTCCAGAAGAAAACACAGGAGAAACCCTTTGTGACTTTCAGTTAGGCAATGATTTCTAAGATACCACATGAAAACATAATAATAAAAAAAAAAGTTGATAAATCAGATTGCTTCAAAATGTAAGCTTCCAGTCTTTGAAAGACACTGTTACAAGAATAAAAGAACAAGTCACAAAATGGAAGAAAACATTTGCAAAGCATTACGTCTGAAAATGAATCTGCTTTCAGAATATATAAAGAACCCCATGAGTTAACGAACAACACAATTTTAAAAAAAAAAATAGGCAAATTATTTGAACAGACACATAAAAAGTGATGGCAAAGAAATGCCCCAGAAGATGTTCGACACTCTTAGTCACTGGGGAAGTGCAAATTAAAACTACAATGAGAGGGCCCGCCAGTGGCATGGTGGTTGAGGTGAGGGATCCCACATGGCCAGCTCCATGGTTCAAGTCCTGGACCTGGTGGCTTCAGAAACACACCAGGCACATGTGCATGAGTGCGCAAAATCCTGAGAGGGGAATGGAGGAGAGGGGATTGGCCATTCTCCCTAGCAGTGCTTTCTCACTTTCTCTCTCTCTCTCTCTCTCTCTCTCTCTCTGGCGAATGCATGAGCCCTATAGCAACAGGAAACAAAACAATGAGAAAGCCCTACATAAGTTTGCTAATAAATGGCTAAAATGTAAAAGGCTGACTACACCACAGGCTGGCAAGGATAACAGAGGAACTAGAAATGTCAGACGGTACTCACGGGAATGTGAAACGATACAATGAACTACTTGGAAAACAGTTTGGAACTTTTCTTAAAAAGTTAAAATCAAAAATCTACCATATGATCAACCCATTTCCCTGATAAGTATTTACCCAAGAGAAATGAAAACACACGACCAAAGACTTGTGCATGAATATAATAGCCCTAAACCGAAAATTATCCAGTGTGCGTCAACAGATGAATGGGTAAACAACGATAACCGTATGGAGGAGTACTACGCAGCACCGGAAGAGGACGATCCTGCAGTACTACAAATGAATCTAAAACGAAGTGTACTGAGTGAAGGAAGC